CCCCCCTCCCTCTCCCTCCTGCCCCGCGCCGAGGCCGAGCCATTGGGGCGGCCAGCCCAGGAGTGCACGACAAAATCATGGACGACGCACAACGCACGACGAGACCTCTGCTTAAGGCTCTGCTTTTTGCGCTTTAGCGCACGCGAAGCCTAATAACGCAGAAGGGTACCGAAATATAGCGAAACACGCCATTTAACATCACCTCTGACGCCGTCTGTGGTGTACTTCGCTGCTTATTCCGATTCGAGAATTGCCGCGCACGAGCGCAAATTAACGTTAAATCTTTTAGCGTTAATTAATAATTCTATAACAAAAATTCTGTGGTTGTGTGGCGACCATAGGCAAGCTCACATACAGTTCATTTCCATCACAAACCACGCCAATAATTCTCACTCAACACTACATTACAATGCGCGTCTCTCCACCTCAGCTAGCGACCGACCTCTAACCTCTTGGTCGAGCAGAAAAGCCGCGCGACCTTGATGCGTCACTAATAGGTGGTTCCCGCTCATCGCGTTTCGAGAAGTAAGGAAATCAGGGCCGGTACCAGTATGAAAGATCCGCTTATTTTTCTTATTTTATACTACAGTTTCACCTAAATGACCTCAAATAACTCCATTGTAACTATGAAGGCTCATTTGCACTAATTTGAACCGTTATTTGGGAACTGTTTCCGGTGAGGATTAAGATAATTCTTATTGAAATTGGCAAAGCGGAAACAGTCTATTGTTTACAACAGAGGTCCCGGCTAACTCTTTGCGTCGGGCCACTATGCCCTTTCGCACGCTGTCTGGTCGCGACTTGGAAGCGTCCGTGTGGGTGTGAGCTGCTGCCTCGAGCTCGACAAGCCGGCGCTCGGCGCCCCGCGTGGAAAACTACCCGCGTGGAAAACTATGGCTTCAGATTGTCATCAGTATGTCATCTCGCCGATGACAAACGGATGACAATCTGATGACAGTCTGATGACAAAACTGATGACATACTGATGACAAATGGATGACAAAACGGGAATCGGCGTTTGTCATCAGTATTTGATCATTTTGCCATCCGCTTATCATCCATTTAACATCGGATTGCCATCAGATCACAATCTGATGATAAACGGATGACAAACTGATGACAAACGGGCTGCTTCCGTCGCTCCAGATCGTTGGGGAATGTTCCAACCGAACATGCTTTACACGAAAATGCCCTAGTCTATACTAGCCTATCCGGTGTCTCAGTCGTGTAAATCTCGGTGTAAATGGAGTGACGATAAGTCGATCGGAGGGTGGAGCTCGCTCAAGTCATCCGCGTAAACTTTTTATTCTGAGCACGATGGTGGTGTTAAAAATTCTGTAGCTATAGCCGTTTAAAAGATGATTTTCGAATAATTTTTTTTCTCAGAAATGGATAGAGTATGTTATCCTCATACACCACAGTAAGCCGTTTTGCTCTACGACGCTTACTTTAGGCATGAGAGGAAAATGCGGTCTACCAGAAAAACATAAGGTGGGAAAGTTCAAATGCCCACCATTAGGCTGGAGCTGGCTGGAGCCGTCCCCCGACCATAGTTTGCCATCCGTGTGTCATCCGTTTGCCATCCTTTTGTCATCGGATGATAATCTGACGATAAACGGATGATAAACTGATGACAAAATAACATACTGATGAGATACTGATGACAACCGCCTATTCGCGTTTTGTCATCAGATTGTCGTCCGTTTGTCATCGGCGTGATGACATACTGATGACAATCTGATGCCATAATTTTCCATGCGGGGAGTCAAGAGTAAGGAGAGAGAGATGAACTTATGCAAGCGTCAGTGAGTGCGACAGAGACAGACGATGTCACCGGGCGGCTTGGCTCGCTCAAGCGACAGTGGCTGCCGTCCGGCTGGCTCCGGGCTCCGGTGCGCCCGGCGTGCATCGGTGTCTCGTCTGCTGGCCCTCGCCTCGCCCATAAGGCTCCATGCGTGGCCCGCCAGCGGCCCGCGTGACGTCACCGAGTCGGCCGCCCGGGCCGCAGGCGACCCGAGGGCCACGTAGCCGGGACCCCTGGTTTACAACATCAGACCAGAGCGCGCGTGCACACACACACACACACACACACACACACACACACACTTTCTCTCTCACTCACCATTCGTAACAAGTCATTCGCTTACTCGCCACCGGCCGACCAGGACGCTCGCCTCAGACCACCTCGCAGTCACCGTCCTGGCCGATAACCATTCTGCCAGTCGGCATCGTGGACTCCCCTCCGACATTCCCTGGACACCACGCTTCAAGTCGGACTTCACCATTCACACTTCAAGTCCACGCTCACGCTCGCACCAACCTTACAGTAGGTATCGCAATCTTTGTTTGAGACATAGCTGAAGATAAATTAGCTGTATGCACGCCAGACCACGTCTCGCGTAACGGGCTTCGCGATATCTCACGAAACACTGTCACGCTGCGACGCGCCTGGCATACATCTACCTAGGCCTCCTACGGGGCTGACACCAGAGTCGGGCAAAAGAAAGAGTCCTTCGGCCACAAAAGTCACAAATCCTGCTCACCAGGGTTTTATTTTGACGAGTTGGCCCATCAGAGACCATGAAATATCTTCGAAAACACATTTAAGTGGCTTTGGGTCATGTCCATGTGGAAAACGCCCCCTGGCGCCTCAACGGTTCAAATTTTCGCTCAAAGAGCTCTACTTTGATGAGTTACCCCATATAAAACTGTTTTTTTGTTTTGTTTTTTTAAACTTTATTTGTGGGACCTGGGTTTTTGATTTTTTCTTTAAATCTAATTTTTGAGCTAGAATGCTATTCTTCGTACTCTGTGTTATGATACAAAACGACCCTAAAAATCCCAGGTCACTAGCTCAATTCGTTCTCGAGTTATCTTGATAACAGACACACAGACACACACTCTCACACAGGGAGTGACGCCTTACCTCTACCAAAATTACTTCTACCGTGTTCCATTAATATTTTTATTACCCCATATGAATAACGGATGAAAATTACCTCTACCAAAGAAATAAAAATATTCAATATAAATATTCAATATAAGTATTCTGGTAAATTCTGGTCTGGTAGGTCCCCTCACAAGAGGGCCCCCCCCCTTTAAAAATTATAAAATATTGTAAAATATTGCTAAATATTCAAAGCAGGTGTTTGGAGGGCCGAGCAATTTTCCGTACCAGTACCGACACCACGCTCGGCTCTTCCAAAGCTTCCCGCGCCTCGGGGAAAGTTTTGAAAACCCAGATGGTGGCTCTGTGTTGGTCTATTCATAAAAACATTGAAAATATTGCTTATTACTATTTAAGAATTAGTTATTGCTGCATTTTCCCCCTCTTCTCGCTTTGGCACCCAAATGAAGGTTTTGCTTCATGTTGCGTACAATAAGAAGCTTTTGAATTAGAAAACATATCAAAGGTGTTAATCAAAGATGATAATGAAGATTATTCCCATTTCATTGCTATCACACAATCTCTGTACTTCTTCTAGGTGTTTAATGGAGTTTCCATGCGGCCCGCCCTGACAAGCTCAGGTTTTTTTGGATCAATCTAGTGGCGGTGAGTTTGAGGGGTGCTTTAAGTTCAATCACTGTGTAAGAGTATCTTACGTCACCAATCTAATAACATCAACCAATATGAATCAAACTAAAGTAATTGGAACAATGAACGCATCATTCTAGCCCTCTCTCACTCAATCCTGCAGCGCGCAGCATTCAACTACTGAACTGAAGATAGCTTGCATTTTCAAAATGAGAACGAGAATTAGGCTATATTTAATTTAGAAGTAAAATGCTGCGCGCTTAAGGATTGAGGGAGAGGGGGGGGGCGAATGATAGATTCATAGTTCCAATGACTTTTGTTTCATTCACGTTATTCGATGTTATTAGATTGGTGAGGTGACATACTTTCACACACTCATTGAACTTCATGCAATCCTTAAACCCACCTCCACCAGATTGATTCAAAGGAAACCGAGCTTGTCAGGACGGGCCGCACGTAAACTTCATTGGACACCTAGAACATGTGAAGAGATTGTGTGACAGCAATGAAGTGAGAATAAGCTTCGTTGTGCTCATCCTCTTTGCTTAACACCGTTGAAATGTTTTAGTCAAATATATCTAATTTCTGAGAGTTCACAGTAATTACTGTGCGCAACACGAAGCAAAATCTTTACACGGGTGCAAGGGCGAGGGGAGACCGGAGAAAGGCAGCTTTAACTAGTTTTTGAATTGTAAAAAAAATTATTTTCGATGGTTTTATTAATGGAGTTGGCATCTGGGATTTCAAATCCCCCCCCCCCATCCCGAGGCGCAGGAAGCTTTGGAACAGCTGAGCGTGGTGTCGGTACCGATACGGAAAATTGCTCGGCCCTCCAAACACCTGCTTTAAATATTTTGCAATATTTTACAATAGGTTATAATTTTTAAGTATTATAATTAAAAAATATTTTAAAAATTATAAAAT